GTATAAATAAAATTAATTAAATAAATAAAATAAAATAAAAAGAAAAAATAATAATGCAAATCAGCCCACACGCCAAACAAAGAGAAACAGAGGTCCCTGCCACACAGGGGGAAAAGAACGGGGAAGATGCGGCTGTTTAAAAGCCGCACCAAAAGAAACATGCGGCGGCGGGATCACATAGATCCCCTGAGCAGCCGCACATTTCCTCCCCGGCAGGATCAGATGCCGGGGGAAGCCACAGAACAAAGAGGGAGGCTGCCGAACTGCGCATGTGTGAGCATGCACAGTTTGGCCAGGAGCCTCAGATGCGCCGGCAGAAGGACGCGCCGGCGATCCCACGGCCGCGCTTGCTGCGGCCTTTCAGGTAAGTCCACCTCTAGGGGTGGTTCTTTTTTGCAGCCAGTTTTCGGCCGGAAGGGCCGGATCGGGGACGGGTGCGCGCCGCTTCCCAGATGTTGCGGTGAGATCGCGCCCATTGCTGCGCCCCCGATCCGTCCCTCTCCTGGCCCAAAACCTTCCATGTGACCGGGGCCAGAGTACAGCGATTTGTAACATTGTATATAGTAATAATAATAGTGCAAAGTGATAAAAGTTCGGAACAGTAATCTCGAGTATCACAGTAACTAAAACAGCTGCAGTAAGAAACTTGACGATCCGAAGAGGAATCATAGATACACCTTATCTCTCTCGCTCACTCTTCACCTCCTTTCCTCTTCCTTCTTTTCTTTCCTCTTTTTCTTGGCCCGTAAGTACCTTTGCCAGGAACTCTGCCACCTGCACAGTAACTATATAGTGCGGTATAAGGCACAGTCCCTATTCACGTATCCAAGTAACTTTGTCAACCATTTTGTGCAGTGCAACCATATTAATAAATGTAAAAGGTTTCCCTTGCTCGAGAGCTAGTTGCATCCGACTCTAGGGGGCGGTGCTCATCTCCGTTTCCAAGCCGAAGAGCCAGCGCTGTCCGAAGAAGTTTCCGTGGTCATGTGGCCGGCATGACTAAACGCTGAGGCACATGGAATGCTGTTACCTTCCCACCGAAGCAGTACCCGTTTATCTACTTGCAGTTTCTTGCTTTTGAACTGCTAGGCTGGCAGGAGCTGGGGCCGGAGACAGGAGCTCACTCCGTCACGTGGCACTCGAGTCTCGAACTGCCAAACTACAGACCTTCAAGTCTGCAGCTCAGCGTCTTAACCTCTGAGCCACCGTCGCCCCTGTAACCATATCACCCATGCAGAAAAACCCTCCTGAATAATTCAGTTTTGCATAGGTTGTGGAAAGCCAAGAGAAAGAGGTACTTTTTTCCCTTTCTCACAGTACAAGAACTCATGGGCACTCAATGAAATCGCTGAGCGGTTGGGTTAGAACGGATCAAAGGAAGTCCTTCTTCACCCAAAGAGTGATTAACACTTGGAATTCACTGCCACAGGAAGTGGTGGTGGCTACAAGAATGGACGGCTCCAAAAGGGAATTAGATAAGCATATGGAGCAGAGGTCCATCAGTGGCTATTAGCCACAAGGTATAGATAGGGACTCTGGGGCAAGTGATGCTTTGTCATCTTGGTGCTTGGGGGGGTCAACAGTGGGAGGGCTTCTAACGTCCTGGCCCTGCTGGTGGACCTCCTGATGGCACTGGTATTTCTGGCCACTGTGTGACACAGAGTGTTGGACTGGATGGGCCTTTGGCCTGATCCAACATTGGCGTCTCTTATGTTCTTATTCCTTCCTCTTTCAGGCTTGTTACACGGCTAAGGATGCGGTCGGCGCTCAGCCGTTGCACCTGGCGGCGGTGACAGCACAGGACGATGCTCTGCGGTTCCTCGTTTGCAATCTGGGTGTCGATGTCAACGCGACAGCTACCCCTCTGCAGATCACAGCCCTCCATTACGCTGCCAAGGTTCCAGCTTTTCCCTTTCGAGACACGCTGGAGGGGGGGTGGCAGTTCGGGGGTCGCTTTCACAAGGGATGTTTGTCACTTCGTTTTATTTATTTATTTCATTAGACTTCTATCCTTACATTGTAGGCTCAGGGTGGGTACCAACATATATCTATATCTGCAATGAATGCAGATTTAGAAATTATATTACAATAATCAATTAAAATCCACAAAATCTTCAACCTTTAAAAAAAAAAAAAGAACATAAGATCAGGCCAGTGGCCCATCCAGTCCAACACTCTGTCACACAGTGGCCAAAAATACCAGGTGCCACTAGGAGGTCCAGCAATGGGGCCAGGACACTAGAAGCCCTCCCACTGTTGCCCCCCAACCCCCCAAGCACCAAGAAGACAGAGCATCCCTTGCCCCAGATGGAGAGTTCCTATCTATACTTTGTGGCTAATAGCCACTCATGGACCTCTGCTCCATATGTTGATCTAATCCATAAGAACATAAGAGAAGCCAATATTGGATCAGGCCAATGGCCCATCCAGTCCAACACTCTGTGTCACACAGTGGCCAACAATACCAGGTGCCACCAGGAGGTCCAGCAGTGGGGCCAGGACACTAGAAGCCCTCCCACTGTTGGGGGCCTCCCCAACACCAAGAAGACAGGTCACACCAGCAGGTGCAAGTGGAGGAGTGGGGAATCCAACCCGGTTCTCCCAGATTAGAGTCCATGCACTTAACCACTACACACAAACTGGCTCTACAAACTGAAACAAGACTTCCTCGACCATTACCTAGAAGAAGAAGAGTTGGTTTTTATGCCCTGCTCTTCACTAACCGAAGGACCCCAGTGGGGTACGATGCCATCCGGTCCACTCTCCAGAGCATCCATTTTCTCCAAGGGAGAAAGGGGTTAGAATGGACAAAAGGAAGTCCTTCTTCACCCAAAGAGTGATCAACACATGGAGCTCACTGCCACAGGAGGTGGTGGTGGCTACAAGCATGGACAGCTTCAAGAGGGAATTAGATAAACATCTGGAGCAGAGGTCCATCAGTGGCTATTAGCCACAAGGGATAGAGAGGAACTCTCGGTCTGGGGCAAGGGATGCTCTGTCTTCTTGGTGCTTCGGGGGGGGGGGGCAACAGTGGGAGGGTTTCTGGTGTCCTGGCCGCACTGGCACTGGTATTTCTGGCCACTGTGTGACAAAGAGTGTTGGACTGGATGGGCCACTGGCCTGATCCAACATGGGCTTCTCTTCTTATGAATTGGATCAACATATGGAGCAGAGATCCATCAGTGGCTCTTAGCCACAAGGTATAGATAGGAACTCTCAGTCTGGGGCAAGTGTTGCTCTGTGTACTTGGTGCTTGGGGGGGGGCGGGCAAGAGTGGGAGGGCTTCTAGTGTCCTGGCCCCACTGGTGGACCTCCTGATGGCCCCTGGTATTTTTGGCCATTGTGTGACATAGAGTGTTGGACTCGAAGGGGCCATTGGCCTGATCCAACATTGGCATCTCTTATGTTCTTATATGGAGTAGAGGTCCATCAGTAGCTAATAGCCACAAAGTATACACAGGAACTCTCAGTCTGGGGCAAGTGATGCTCTGTCTTCTTGGTGCTTGGGGGGGGGGGGACAGTGGGAGGGCTTCTGGTGTGCTGGACCCACTGGTGGACCTCCTGAGGGCACCTGGTATTTTTGGCCACTGTGTGACAGAGTGTTGGACCGGATGGGCCATTGGCCTGATCCAGCATTGGCTTCTCTTCTGTTCTTATGAGCTCTGTAATCTGGAGGCTGACGTCCCTAGGGGGAAAGGTGAATGGAGGTCTAGCAGACTGTCTATAAGGGAAAGTGAGAGAGATCTATCAGGAAATGAGATGGAACACATGAAGCTGCCTGATACTGAATCAGACCCTTGGTCCATCAGGGTCAGTGTTGTCTACTCAGACTGGCAGCCGCTCTCCAGGGTCTCAGGCTGAGGTCTCTCCCATCAGCTTCTACCTGGTCCTGGAGATGCTGAGGATTGAACCGGGGACCTTCTGCCTGCCAAGCAGAGGCTCTACCACTGAGCCACAGCCCCTCTTTACAGCTCTCCAGGGTCTCAGGCAGAGGTCTTTCCCATCAGCTCCTACCGGATCTGTTTAACTGGAGATGCCGGGGATTGAACCTGGGATCTTCTGCATGCCAAGCAGAGGCTCTGCCACTGAATCATGGGCCCCTCTTTACAGCTCTCCAGGGTCTCAGGCTGAGGTCTTTCCCATCACCTCCTACCTGGTCCTTTTTAACTGGGGATGCCGGGGATTGAACCTGGGACCTTCTGCATGCCAGGCAGAGGCTCTACCACTGAGCCACGGCCCCTCCCCAATAAATAGATGGTGGGGAGAGGTGCTGAAACCCAGTGGTGTTGGAAAGATTTGAGCCTATTGGGTTCCTCTCTGTCGTTCCTGGAGTCAGCGGCACTAGCAGGTGGCCGCTTCGGTGGCCGGCACTTTCTTTTCTGCTACAGTCCGTCCCGATGACTTCTGCTTTTCATTTCTCGCTGGGCTTTGAGGTCGCTCAGTTTGAAGAAGTGGAGGAGAAAGTCTCGAACCAAATGATTCCCAGCCTAGGCCTGGCAGGTTGTGGGCTTCCCCCAGCAGAACTGACCCTATCTGAGGACTCAGGGGACAGATTTTGGACATTATGAAGGAGATTGGATTTATACCCCTGCCCTTTTCTACCCGAAGGAGTCTCCGAGCGGCTTACCGTCTCCTTTCCCTTCCCCTCCCTGCAACAGACACCCTGTGAGGTAGGTGAGGCTGAGAGAGCTCTCTCGAGGACTGCCCTTGGGAGAACAGCTCTGAGAGAACTTGTGACTGACCCAAGGTCACACCAGCAGCTGCATGTGGCGGGGTCTGAGCCACAGCCCCTCCCCAGAGATTCTGCTCTTATTGCTGATTATGGGGATAGGTTGTAGCCAATGTTCCCTCTAAGCTGAGTTAGTGTGAGCTAGCTCACAGTTTCTTAGCCTCCGGCTCACACATTTTTGTCTTAGCTTAGAAAGGAGGGCTCCAGAGCAAACTAATTGATGCAGTAGCCAAATCGCTCGCTCACAACTTTAGAAGAAGAAGAAGAAGAGATTGGATTTATACCCTGCCCTTCACTACCCGAAGGAGTCTCTGAGCGGCTCACAAACTCCTCTCCCTTCCCCTCCCCACCACAGACACCCTGGGAGGTCGGTGGGGCTGAGAGAGTTCTCTCGAGGACTGCCCTTGGGAGAACAGCTCTGAGAGAACTCGTGACTGACCCAAAGTCACACCAGCAGCTGCATGTGGAGGGGTCTGAGCCACAGCCCCTCCCCAGAGATCCTGCTCTTATTGCTGATTATGGGGATGGGTTGTAGCCAATGTTCCCTCTAAGCTGAGTTAGTGTGAGCTAACTCACAGTTTTTTAGCCTCCGGCTCACACATTTTTGTCTTAGCTCAGAAAGGATGGGTCCAAAGCAAACTAACTGATGCAGTAGCCAAATCGCTCGCTCACAACTTTAGAAGAAGAAGAAAAGATTGGATTTATACTCCACCCTTCACTTGGAGTCTCGGAGCGTCTTACAAACTCCTTTCCCTCCCCCTCCCCACAACAGACACCCTGTGAGGTGGGTGGGGCTGAGAGAACTCTGACACAAACTGCTCTTTTTCAAGGACAGCTGTGCCAGAGCTTGTGACTGACCCAAGGTCACATCAGCAGGTGCAAGTGGAGGAGTGGGGAATCAAACTTCGGTTCTCCCAGATTAGAGTCCGCACACTTAACCACGACACCAAACTGGCGAGTAGCTCACAAAGTTGAATTTTTGCTCACAGGACTCCACAGCTTAGAGGGAACATTGGTTGTAGTTCTGACGCAGAGCACCTCCTTTGCCTCCTTTAACTGGAGCTCCCGGGGACTGAACCTGGGACCTTCTACATGCCAAGTAGAGGATCTGCCACTGAGCCACGGCCCCTCCCCTAAACAGGAAATGGAAAAACAATCCACATATTGCTGAGGCTTGATCGCCATCTGGCAGCAATGCTGATTGTGTGAACCGGGGCAGATCAGGAGAGGGCTTCGTCCTGGTGGCCCTTTTCTTACACGCCCAGGGAAATGCCGATCGCCACTTTGGGCTCAGGAAGCCATTGTTCTCCAGGCCAGTTTAGCCAGGGATCCTGGAGGTTTCTTGTCACCTTCTGGGCGTGGAACAGCGGCCACTGAGGGTGTGGAGGGGGGGAGGTATTTGTGAACCTACTGCATTGTGCAGGGGGTCGGACGAGATGACCCTGGAGGTCCATTCCAACTCTACGATTCTGTGAATAGTGCACTAAGAGTACATGGCCCGTCGGGCAACACAGCTACCTACACAACTGGATTCCGCAGGGCCTGTGAAACAGAGCTCTTCCGCTAGGCTTCACCACTAACAACTAGGCTAGGAAGCCCCGTTGTCTCCCGAATTTGTATTAACAGCCTGCAGCAGCTGCCTAATAGACACCTGCAGACCTAGGAGCCGCTTATGGGAAGAGAGAGCCGATAGGGTAGCCCTCGCAGATGCAATAAGGACAAGACTAGCACTTACTATGAAACTGTCAACTGGTTTCTAAGACTGTTTTAAATGGCCTATTGTACTGTTTTGGTGTAGTGGTTAAGTGCGCGGACTCTAATCTGGGAGAACCGGGTTTGATTCCCCACTCCTCCACTGGCAGTTGCTGGATGACCTTGGGCAAGCCGTAGTTCTGATAAGAGCTGTTCTTGAAAAAGAGCCGTTTCTGTCAAGAGCTCTCTCAGCCCCGCCGACCTCACAGGGTGTCTGTTGTGGGGAGGGGAAGGGAAAGGAGTCTATGATTGTGACTGTTTCATTTCTAACCCAGGAAGGACATGCCGGCACCATCAAGACCCTTCTGTCCCTCGGCGCCGATCTAAACGCAAAGGATGGCAAACACCGAACAGGTGAGGGCCATGCACTTTTCAGAATAGGGTTACGATGAGTTGCTAAAATACCAAGCGGGCAAAATCGGAGTCTCGGGGAAACTGCTTTTACTTGTACACGTTGTCGGTGCACTAGAGAACCCGGTGGTATAGTGGTTTGTGTCAGACTAAGATCTGAGAGACCCAGGTTCGAATCCCTATTCTGCTCCCTATTCTGAGGGGGGACACGATTGAGGTTTATAAGACTATGCATGGGATAGAGCAGGTAGAGAAAGAGGTACTTTTCTCCCTTTCTCACAATACAAGAACTCGGGGGCACTCCATGAAACTGCTGAGCGGTCGGGTTAGAACGGATAAAAGGAAGTCCTTCTTCACCCAAAGAGTGATTCACACATGGAATTCACTGCCACAGAAAGTGGTGGTGGCTACAAGCATGGACGGCTTCAAAAGGGAACTAGATAAGCATATGGAGCCAGAGGTCCATCGGTGGCTATTAGCCACAAGGTATAGATAGGGGCTCTGGGGCAAGTGATGCTCTGTCTTCTTGGTGTTTGGGGCGGGCAACAGTGGGAGGGCTTCTAGTATCCTGGCCCTACTGGTGGACCTCCTGACGGCACCTGGTATTTCTGGCCACTGTGTGACACAGGGTGTTGGACTGGATGGGCCTTTGGCCTGATCCAGCATTGGCTTCTCTTATGTTCTTATATGGAGCAGAGGTCCATCAGTGGCTATTAGCCACAAGGTATAGATAGGAGCTCTGGGGTAAGTGATGCTCTGTCTTCTTGGTGCTTGGGGAGGGGGTAACAGTGGGAGGGATTCTGGTGTCCTGACCCCACTGCTGGACCTCCTGAGGGCACCTGGTATTTCTGGCCATTGTGGGATACAGAATGTTGGACTGGAGGGGCCATTGGCCTGATCCAACATTGGCGTCTCTTATGTTCTTATGAAAGATAACCAAATGATTAAAACCGTGGGTCAGAGATCTTCGGTCGGACGATAGCCCTGACCGGTCAGCTTCACGTGATCCGCATTTTGTATGAACGTTGACTATTATTCCCCAAACCTTTTTGAGCCTGCAGGCACTTTGGAATTCGGAGAGGGGGTGGTGAGTGCCTGCCGCAGGAGGGGGAACAGAACCTCAGGCCTGATCCCCTGGCAGCTGTGGCTGCTGTTTCATTTGACTGAAGGCAGCCAATAAGAAAGCCTGCCTCACAGGGGGCCCCACCCACTTTCTGAAAAGCTGGGTGGGCACCATGGCAAGTAGGGATGGGCACTGCGGTGCCCCTGGGCGCCGCGTTGGGGAACTCTGCTCTAGACCGGATTTTCACCCCGTTTTCCTTCTTTCTCCCCCCTCCTCTTCCCGCAGCTCTTCACATGGCGTGTGCAGGCCAGCACGTGGCATGTACCCAAATTCTTCTGCAGTCGGGATTGCAGGACTCTCCGGACAGCAGCGGAACACGCGCGAGGCAGCTGGCGAAGAAGCCAGACCTCCTCCGGTTTTTCGAAGAGATCAACATGAGCGCAGGAACTTGAGGAATAAAAATTGTTTCTTTCTGGCACCGACCCGCTGTGTTTCCTGCTTAACTTGCAAATACGTTGCAATTATTGAGAAATCCACACGTGCATACAGCAGTCTCGGGGCCAGCGAAAGTCGGCATTCTGTGCCCCGGAGGATTCGACTCTACAATCATCGCTCCAGTCCATTTGCAATTGACTTATACGGTCAATATGAACATCAGAAGAGCCCCGCTAGATCAGACAAATAGTCCATCCAATCCACCAGTCTGGACAGCCAGCAATAGGGTATAGAGGCCTTCCCCCGATGTTACCTGCTGACTGGCTCACAGTAACTCAGCTTGCAGGGAACACTACCTGTGAGGGAGGTGGGGCCCGAGAGAGCTCCTTTCAAGGACTCCTGAGAGAATGGCTCTGAAAGAAGGTATTGTAAACAGATCAGCCAATATCATAATGCCGCTATATAAATCAATGGTGTGACCTCATCTGGAATACTGTGTGCAATTCTGGTCACCACACCTTAAAAAGGATATTATAGCTTTGGAAAAAGTGCAGAAAAGAGCAACTCGAATGATAAAAGGGTTGGAACACTTTCCCTATGAGGAAAGGTTAAGGCGCTTAGGGCTCTTTAGCTTGGAGAAAAGACGACTGAGGGGTGACATGATCGAGGTTTATAAGATTATGCATGGGAAAGAGCAGGTAAAGAAAGAGGTACTTTTCTCCCTTTCTCACAATACAAGAACCCGTGGGCACTCCATGAAATTGCTGAGCGGTCGGGTTAGAACGGATAAAAGGAAGTACTTCTTCACCCAAAGAGTGATTAACACATGGAATTCACTGCCACAGGAAGTGGTGGCGGCTACAAGCATGGACGGCTTCAAAAGGGACAAGTGGTGGTCTGTCAGCTTGGGGGGGGGGGGTCAACAGTGGGAGGGCTTCTAATGTCCTGGCCCCACTGGTGGACCTCCTGATGGCATTGGTATTTCCGGCCACTGTGGGATACAGAGTGTTGGACTGGATGGGCCTTTGGCCTGATCCAACATTGGCATCTCTTATGTTCTTATGTTCTTATGTTAACTTGTGACCAGCTGCTGCATGTGGAGAAGTGGGGAATCAAACCTGGGTTTTCCCAGATCAGAGTCCGCACTCTTAACCACTACACCCAAACTGTCGTTGTTTGAGTATCACACTAGGATCCGAGGTGGTGGAAAGTGCCTTCAAGTCACCACCAACTCCTCATGGTGATCCCATAAGGTTTTCAAGGCAAGAGACTTCGCAGGTGGTTTGCCATTGCCTGCCTCTGCATAGCAACCCTGGACTTCCGTGCTTCGCTTACCAAGTCTGATGAGATCGGGCTAGCCTGGGCCGTCAAGGTTAGGCAGGATCTGAGAGGCCCAGGTTTGAATCCCTACTTCTGTCATGGAAGCTCGTTGGGTGAGCTTGGTCCAGTCACGCACTCTCAGCCTAGCCTACCTCATAGGGTCGGTGTGAGGATAAAAGTATAGGAGAGGAGAAAGTTGTAAGTCACTTTGGGTCCCTGTTGGGGGGAAACATGGAATAATTGCAAACAGTAAATTTTACCTGAGTCAAGAAAAAAAAATTATTTCTGAAAGGTCTTAAACAGACCATATCAGGGCAATGATAGGGTACAGCCAGTGGCTTTCTGCATGGCCGTGTTCTAGTCACTCTCACCATAATCTACCTCACAGGATTGTGGTGAGGAGAAAATGGTGGAGGATGAACCATATATACTGCCCAGAACTCCTTAAAGGAAGGGCAGAATTTAGAAATGTACTAGGCAGATAGATGGACTTGCTGTCTGTGCTGAGGATTCTCTGTGATGGGTAGTGCTTTTAGTCAACTTCAGTTGGTGTTTCAACTTGAGAAGTGCAGTTTGACCACACATGCTCTGATTTGGGGGTGTGCATTTGGTTAAACTGAACCCAACCCCCCAACCCCGAAAAATATCATATTGGTATTTTCCGGGTTCTTTTCAGCCGAATAGTGAGTGGGCTATTTATTCGGCTATCCGAAAATGGCTGACCCAAAAAGTCCTGAAAATATCTGGGATTTTTTGGGACCACCACCAGAGAGTCACAGTTAAAGGGGATTTAAAGGGCTCTTGGCCCCTTTAAATGCCTTCCAGGTGAACTCCTCGCTTGGAGGTGTTTTGTAGTTCACTCGCAGCTTGGAGAAGGCATTTAAAGGGACTGCGATCCCTTTAAATGCCCTTTTTCCATTGAAACCAATAGAGGATTGGGTCACCTTTTCTGGAGACCCATAGAATTGGAACCCCTGGTTCCATTTTTTTTTAAACTGGGGGGGGGTTGAGGAGAGGCACCAGAAGCTATGGTGCAAATTTGGTGCCTCTACCTCAAAAAACACCCCCCACAGAGCCCCACATACCCCCAGCTTTATTCTCCATTATACCCTATGGGAGCCATTGACTATAATGGTATTGGGATTCAGGAATATCAGGAAATACTGATATTTTCCGGGCTCAATATACCCAAACCTGAAAAATACCATATCTGTGGCTGCCCTTGAAGAATGTGCAGAAACGGCAACTGTTGCAGCATGTGGCAGCGAGATCATCAAACAGCGCATGTTAGAAGGGTCTAACAATGTCCACAAGAAGTGAATCATTTCCCCTCCAAACTAAAACCAGAAACTCACATGACAAACTACGGATAGCTTTTAAACACAGTGGCAATCATCCGCCTGAGGTAATGAATTCCAAAAGGTTATTAAGCATGACACCAAGAAGTTCAGGGGAGATAATGTCATTCTTCTCCCTCCCCACTTCCAATTTATCATCACAACAACCCTGTGAGGTAGGTTAGGCTGAGACACGGTGACCGGCCAAGCTCATTCAGTGAATTTCATGGCAAGTGGGGATTTGAAACCACATCACCCTGATTGCAGTCTAGTTCTCTAACCACTACACCACACTGTTTCCCAATGCCCCTATGAGCAGTGTTCCCTCGAAGAAGAAGAAGAAGAAGAGGAAGAGGAGGAGGAGGAGGAGGAGGAGGAGATTGGATTTATACCCTGCTCTTCACTTGGAGTCTCAGAGCAGCTTACAAACTCCTTTCCCTCCCCACAACAGACACCCTCTGAGGTGGGTGGGGCTGAGAGAACTCTGACAGAAGCTGCTCTTTCAGGAACAGCTGTGCCAGAGCTTGTGACTGACCCAAGGTCACATCAGCAGGTGCAAGTGGAGGAGTGGGGAATGAAACCCGGTCCTCCCAGATTAGAGTCCGCGCACTTAACCACTACACACAAAGCTGAGGTAATGTGAGCTAGCTCACAGTTTTTTAGCCTCCGGCTCACATATTTTTTGTCTTAGCTCAGGAAGGATGGCTCCAGAGCGAACTAAGTTATGCAGTAGCCAAATTGCTTGCTCACAACTTTAAGTAGCTCACAAAGTAGAATTTTTGCTCACAAGACCCCACAGCCTAGAGGGAGCATTGCCTATGAGGTACACCAGGGTGAGAACCAACAGGCTGAAGATCACGAAGTATGGACGGGGACGTGAACTCAGATCCCACAAAGGTCTTACTCTACCACTGTAATTACAGCACCACAGTCGCTCTTATTTTCATGCTGTCATCAAATATGTGTGGCTTATGGTGACCCTATGAATGAATGACCTCTAGAACATCCTAATAGTTGGTGTCGTGGTTAGAGTGCAGACTCTAATCTGGGAGAACTGGGTTTGATTCCCCACTCCTCCACATGCAGCCAGCTGGGTGACCTTGGGTCAGTCACAGTTCATCAGAGCTGTTCTCTCACGAGTTCTTGAAAGAGGCTCTCTCAGCCCCACCTACCTCACAGGGTGTCTGTCGTGGGGAGGGGGAGGGATTTCAAGCCTTTCTGAGACTCCTTCGGGTAGTGAAGGGCGGGGTATAAAATTAAATCTCCTCTTTCTCCTCCTCTTCTTCCTCCTCCTCTTATACACCAGTTTGGTGTCGTGGTTAAGTGGGCGGACTCTAATCTGGGAGAACCGGGTTTGATTCCCCACTCCTCCACTCGCAGCTGCTGGATGACCTTGGGCAAGCCATAGTTCTGACAAGAGCTGTCCTTGAAAGTACAGTTCTGGAAAGAGCTCTCTCAGCTTCACCAATCTCACAGGGTGTCTGTTGTGGGGAGGGGAAAGAAAAGGAGATTGTAAGCCGCTCTGAGACTCCATCGGGTAGTGAAGGGTGGGGTATAAATCCAGGTTTTTTTGTAGAAAAAGCCCAGCAGGAACTCATTAGCATAATAGGCCACACCCAACAGCAGAAACTCATTAGCATATTAAGCCACACCCCTGACAGCACATCTGATTAGCACATTAGGCCGCACCCCCATGTTACCAGAAGTGTGGTCATCCAGCCACACCCACCTTTCCCTTCTTATTCGGTTTACCTTGTTTGTTGTCAAAACCCAGGGCTTTTTTGTAGCACCACTCCTTTGCATGTTAGGCCACACACCCCTAATGTAGCCAATCCTAATGAGTTTCTGCTGTTGGGTGTGGCCTATTATGCTACTGAGTTCCTGCTGGGCGTGGCCTACTTGGGAGCCAGCCGGAACTCCGTTCCTCTGCGTTCCTGCCCAAAAATAGCCCTGTATAAATCCAATCTCCTTCTCCTCCTTGCTCAGGTCCTACAAACTGAGGGCCTTTTGGCTCCTTTGATCGAGCCAATCTATCTCCTGTTGGGTCTTCCTCTTTTCCCGCTGCCTTCCACTTTCCCTAGCATGATTGTCTTTCTCAGTGATTCTTGTCACCAATTAGACCAAAAGTATGATAGTCTAATCATTTTAGCTTTTAGGAGAGAGTTCAGGTTTGATTTGATGTACAGCCCACACATTTGTCTTTTCAGTGGTGCACAGTAGAAGAAGGAGAAGAGAAGAGATTGGATTTATACCCCGCCCTTCACTACCCATAATGGCAGAAAGTGAAGAGGACGTAAAGAGGCTCTTGCTAAGGGTAAAAGAGGAGAGCGCAAAAGTGGGCTTGAAGCTCAACATCAAAAAAACTAAGATCATGGCATCCAGCCC